ACGGGAGAGTAGCTGTTGAAATAATCCAGTACAATTTAATAATAGGACAAGTCAGGTGCGGAGCTACCAAACACACACTCACACAGTAGATATTTTGTTGTTTGTCCGATTTGCCCCTAGGGGTACAATGGCCCGACCACGTATGTATACACATTTATATATATATACATATACATTAGCTAGGATAACAGCAAAAGAGCAACTAAAATCCCATGTATTTCACGTTTCAATCACTTGTATCCCTTTTTATGGAAACTTATTTCAATATAAAAATGTATAGTGGAGAGGTGTCAATTAGCATTTCATTGATGATTTAGGAATTTTCTTGATACTCGTGAGATGGTACGACTATTGTTTCATTCTCAACAAAAAAAAGAAAAAGAAAAAAACATATTCATGTTGTTCAATGTCTCGTAAAAATGAATCAATACGTGTCTAAAGTTATTTCAGTATTCATTTTTCGCGTTCTCCAATTTAGTTTTCTTAGGAATGTCTTGTATAAAGCTATTTCCGTAGGCTGCTTATGAATACAATAGAAGGCGAAAAAAGGGTTAGGAGTACATCGATGTCAAATGGTTGATTAGTTAAAAATGTGAAAATGCAGTGACTTCAAAAGGGTGCAAAAAGCACTTTGAAAATATGAAGAGAATAATTTATAATTATAATAAATTAGTAAAACTCATAATTGAATCCTTATATAATTTTAGTACACCCATCATGCAAATTATAAACAATCACGATTGATATATAGATTGGATCAATTATCAAATTTACGATTTAATGATCAAAATATCCATGCCATGGTACTTACTCATTTCAATTTAGTCGACACCAAGCGAGATTATAATAGCTTACTCTTAGGAGGGCGGACTCATACCTAGGAATCGGAATTGCAATTAGAATTACATTCAAAAATTCAATATGGGTTTTGATCAAGAATATCATTACAATGACTAGTGTTTGGTACATATTTATAAGGTTTTGGAATCAAATTATTCTTCATTTTCTTTTCTTTATTTTTTTTCTTCTTTCCCTTCTCTTGTTGTTGTCTTCCCAACCCTTAAGTACTCGTGCTTCACCATATTCTCTTAAACCAACACTTGACCATCATCAATCAACCTTACAATCTGTGGAGCATGAAAAAGCAGCTTACAAGAGATGGAAGAAAGATTTACACAAAAAGGAAAAAAAAAAGAAAGGAGAGAGAACCAAATGAAGAGTGGCTGCAATGGAGTATTAGAGGAGAAAGAAAGAGAGAAGACAAGGGAAAATAATAGAGATTGACAAGAAAGAAAAGAGAACCAGATGAGGTGGGTCTGCTGCTATGGAGAATTGGAGGAGAAAGTGAAGAGAGAAAAAAGAGAGAGAGATGATGATAAAAGACTGCTATGGAATATGGGATAAGAGAGAAAAGGTGTTGCCATGTAAATTGGGCCGATGTGATTGAGTGATGAAAACGATATATTTTCTTTTTTTTTTTTAAGTTTTCGAGTCAAATTGAATCAAATTTGAAAATTCGTGAAAATCCGTCCAATTTGCTAGGAATTGAGAACTCTCGAATTTTAACGTTTCATTACAAGATTCTGAATCCAATATGTAACCCAAATAATAAGAATTGGAATTATTTTAATTTTTGATTCCGATCATCTTTTATCAAATGACACCTTAATGCTCTACTGAATTTTCGGCATTAGGCGCTTGAGGATAATTTCGTGATTTCATCCCATAGGGATGGCAGCAACAATAATCAGTTGCCGTCGGGTTTCCGAAAATGCCAAGGAAACGGGATCGGGGATGATAGCTCAGTGTGAGTAGGTGACGGACCTTTCCCTTCACCTAACATGCAAGCTTGAAAAGTGCGATGGCTATCTTTCCCTACAACCACGTGCCGCTCCTGTAGAAAGCTCTAATTCAATATTTCAATGAAGCATTTTCCTAGGATGAAGATGCATCTTTTATTCTAGAATTTTCTAATGCACAAATTTGAATTGCTTTTTTTTTTGGCTTCTAGCAGAAAAAGTTTTCGTGTATTATTTGGAGATTTATGTTTCATTCGTATCTCATTTTTTAGGACCTTTAGGGGTATATTTCAAAAATAATTGAGTTTTGTTTCAATAACATTGTAAGATGTTTTATGACATGATCTTAAACGAAATACAAATGTAGTTGAGAATTAAAAAAAAAAAAGTGATTGGAAATGTGTCTATGATATGGTAGAAATTTTTTTCATTTTTCCGTTTTACAAATAATTTCCAATCTTGTTGTAATTGAGATGTAATGCATATGAGACAGAAAAATAATTAAAAGTAAAAAAGTCATTAGAAATGTGTAAAAGAAATATTCAGGATTGCATTTTCCGTCATTTTTCATGGAAAAAGAACTGTTTGGATTGCATATTCAGAACTGTTTGGATTGCATTTTCCGTCATTTTTCATGGAAAAATTACTGTAGCGATTTGATATATGTGAGGGAAAAAGGTGATAGGAAAATGTGATCACAGAAAACGACAATATTTTCTGGCAGAAACAAGCAATCCAAACAAGGATAATATGTCCAAATAATGACAATTTAAACAAGCTCTTGTATTCTAAATCACAATCAAAATACATGTCTTTAAAAAAATTTTCTTTCTTTATGAGGCCATGTAGCATATTGAACTTGTATTTATGTATATTGGTACAATTGTGCGTATTCAAAATCATATATATTTTTTAGATTTCATCTATAAAAAAACAATTGAAAATCACGACAATTTTGAGCGATAGTCACAGACAAGAAAATCCTCAAAATCAAAGACGTAGGCTATTTGTTAGTTTGTTTCTATCACTTGTCGTATGTTGTTTAGTATAGGATTTCCTTTTTTTACTAGCCGAAATGCTATAAGGTGTCTTTGCTCGAAATCATAATGATTTTCCTTTTTTGGATAACTGTCATTTATAAATATAATTTGTTTGTATCATAAATATATTTTTTAATCATCTCATATATATCACATAGCAAAAAGTGCTATAATGTTATTTCAAATAATCTTCTATTCTAAAGTATAACTTAACTAGATTAATGTACTTTTATAAAATCTCATTTTATAATCTAATTCTATCCTAGGCCTCCAACCTCCTTAATTTTCATGTTGCTGTTTATGCAGTGATGAAACCATGGGCCAAATATAAGTCTCTAGGCCAAAAAGCCTATTTCAACATGAGAAACCTATAATTTCCAAAAAAAAAAAAAGAAAAATGTTATCACAATGTTGTCAATGAGATATACTCCTATCTCATAATAAAATTGAGAATAATAGACACCTTGTTCAACTTTTGGTATTAATTTTTCATCTTGGTACTACAATGTTCTTTTTCAAGAATTTTAAAGAAGATTCAATGTTACCATTTCCATCCCAAAAAAAAAAAAATTGAATGATTTCGTTTTTGCCTCTCACTTTTCCACTAATTTTTTTTTTTATGTCTTTGCTCCATTTTGAATTTAAGCTTTCAAGCTGAATTTTCAACTTAAACATTGGGCCTTTAAAAAAAAATCGTCTTTCTCAAAAGAACACCTAAGAAATAGTTTCCATTTCAAATATGTTTTTCTTATACTTAAGGGTCTATTTGGCACGCCTATTTTATGTATGTCACAAAGAAACAAATTTTGGTAAAATATCATCTACAATGATACTCTTATATCCCTACAATTTTTTAAAAATAAAATAGAGTAATAGTGGTGGGTAGTAGGTGTTGCCAGTAGAGGCCTAGAGGGTAGCAAGCAGTGAGAGGAAGAGTAAGGGATAAGCATCAAACTTTTTTTAAAACAACTTTCATATAGCTTAAGTATTTTTTGGTATATTTTTCAAAAACTACACCGTAACATTGTATCTCAAAATTTTTTTTGGCTGTAGATATATTTTAAGATATTTTAAAATTTTAAAATTTCATCTAGAAATTTTTAAAAATTTTATTAGGAATGGGTGGTGGGACGGTGGGGGTTTGTGATAGGTGGAAAAAGAAAGAGATGGTAGAATATCTTCTTATTTATTTTTTGTCTTTTTGTTAGGTGTGTTTGAGATTCGTATTTGAAGTGTTTTTAAGGATACGTATACCTTATGGAGAGTGTTATCATAGCATTACATTTGAAAATCTAGTATTTAAAAATAGGCAAATCTATAAAGATTAGGTTATATTAAAACACACTATTAGGAATATAAACGTATCTAATTAAGTAGAACACCCTAAGATTCAAATTTGTTTGACTTTCTTAACAAATTTGAAATTTTGTTCAAAATTAACCTGTTTATCGCCTTATGGAGTGTGTTATCATAACATTATATTTAAAAAACTAGTATTTGAGAAATAGGCAAATCTATAAAGATTAGGTTATAGTAAAGCACACAATTAGGAGTATAAACGAATCTAATCAAGTTGAACACTCTACTATTCAAACTTGTTTGATTATTTTAACGAGTTTAAAATTTTGTTCAAGTTGTTTATTCACTAAATTGAGTTTGAACGAGTTTTTTTTTTTATCAAATTTGAATTTTATCGAATATAAAATGCTATTTAATCTTGACTTGATTAGTTAACAAATCAAACTCGAACGAATTCTTATCAAATCGAATTTTTAAAATAGTTTGCTTCATCTTTCAACTCTACACACTATCCAAATGGATTTGGAAATAGCAACTTGAAATCTATCCCTTGTCCATAGAAAGGGGAAAATGTAGATGAAATTAATAAACTGTAAATGTTTATGATGAAAAGAACATTTCAAAATCTTAAACTTTGGATAAAGTAAAAAAGTTCCAAAAAGAAGAACAAAAAGGTAAGAGATGACAAGGAAAAACAGTCCATGAAAGAAATAACAAATTTGTTCACAAAAAAACCTCTTGCAACATATTCTTTTTTTCAAGCCTGCTAAAAAAAAAGAACATATGATATTATCCAAAATTTTTAGAAAGTCCTATCCAGTATTTGTCTGCTGTTTCTGAAATTTAAAAGGAAGAAAAAGAAATAAACACAAAGACACACGTCAGCATTGTCTACTCGACAGAAAACCCTAACGTTCTCCATCTTCATCCTCTCTATCAGAACCGAACTGAAACGGTAACAAAATTTCCTCATTTTCCAAACCCAAACCCAAACCCTAACCCCAAGCTTCCCAAAATGCTCCTATAATCCCATATCATTTCGGCATTGCCCCTCCCCTTCCATACATATAATCCATACATACATACCCATACACAAAACAGATTTTCTGAAATTATGTCGCAGGATGGGGCAGCGGCAATGGTTTCGGCATCGCTAACCGCGACTGTGACGGGGACGGCAGCGGCAGCTGGGACGGGAATAGTGCCTGCAACCGTCGATCGGAGGATTTCCGAGCCTCAATCTCCGGCAACTGAAATTAGAAATGTTAATAACAACAATGGCAGCAGAAACGATAAAAGTATTACCAATAAGAATGGGAATGGGACGCTTATGCCTCCACCGCCACCGCCATCGCAGGTTTTTCCGACCTATAGTTCCCACAGGCTGCGGCTGAACCCTAGCGCCGATCACAAGCCGGATAGTTATGAGGATTTGCAATTGGACTTCAGTCCTCTGCTTTTCAGCTCTCTGGAGAGGTATTTGCCGCCAACTCTCCTCAATTCGTCGCGGGAGACGAAGGTTCATTACATGCGTGAAATCCTCCTCCGTTACTCCACCGAAAGCGAGCGAAATCGTGTAAGTATATATACATGCACTAATATTTCTGCATGTTCGCTCATTTGCTTTTGTTGCTTGCATTACGGTTTGTGGATGGGGGAAATGTGGAAATTTTAGAATTGCATGGGGGGAAGTGAATATAATGGTTACATTTTACGTGTATTTATACGGGTTTATATCTCTGCTTCTACGCGTATGTATACATGGGCTAGGCATTGTAGTGCAAGGAGACACGTGTAAAAAGATTGGAATTTTTATTTTTAAAGAACTTTTAAAGGACGTTTTGAGGTATTCTTGCATGCAACTGTGCATGCGAAGATGCAGTAGTGGTGTTGGGAGACAAAAGTAGAATTGGATTGAGTTACAGTTATTTATTTATTTTTGTTTTATTTGACAATTTTCTGTGATGGTATAAAAAAGATAGAAGTAATAAAAATGTTAGGAAGATTGTGAATTGTTTTTACTGGTAACTGTGACATTAGCTTAAAGTATGGAGAGGGTATGAACTTTTGGAGTAAATTCTATGTGTTTTTTCCTTGTATTTTTATTTTTTCTTCCATAATAGAGGTTGATTTGGGGAAGGGGACTGAGGAGGAAAAAGGAATGCAATTTCTGGAGGGTTGGAAGTTTTGCTGCTGTTACTGAAAATGGTCATCATTTTTTGCTTTGAATTTCTGCTGCTGTTTAGCGTTGAAAGAGAATGGGAATGTTGACAGTAAGACTAATTGGGTTTTGGGCATTTTATTCATGTTAAATTATTAGGGATTTTGATTGGCTTTTTGGAGGATATGTCTGAAGGGATAAGAAATCTGAGAGAAAGGAATTTGTTGGATATTTTTTTCATGTGTGTGTTCTCTGTCAGTTGAACACTTTATTAGGTAATGGAGCTGTCTAAGGGGCTTATATTTTTGCACAGACATTTTGTGTTCAACTACGATATTAAGTGACATTCCCCTGGAATTATTCATGTGGTTCTGTATATCTGTTGGAAATCTGCTCTTTTTCTAATTATTTGGGTTGTCTCAACTCAAGAAGATTATTAGCTTGATAGCGTATGGTGGAAACTGAATGATGTACAAAACATGATGCAACTGGGATTCTTGCATGTTCTGTAAAGCATGCTTTTCCCATTATCTTGATGAGAAGATCTCTTGTACGCTATGCTTCTGTCGAAGCAACTTTTGAGAGTTTTCAACTTCTTTTGTGTTAACAGGTTCAGAAGCACAGAGAATACAGGCAAAAGATTATATCGAACTATCAGGTATAAACCCTGATAAAACTATAGTTGAGGATTATCTTTTTACCTAATTATGTTAGACATCGACATAAATATGGGTGCTCAATTTATTTTTATCAACAAGTAGAAAGTGGATTATATTTTAAGCTGCAATAACTTGTGTTTTGAGGAACCAATCCTTCCTGGTTTAATGCCTATTCTATCGGGAAGGGGATGGAAAATTGCTTACCAGCAAAAGATAATTATGATGGCTTAATGGCTATTGCCACTTGCCCCCAAATTTTATTTTATAGGTGCCAGATGAAATTAGATTGTCAGTGGATTTTTTTGTGTCTGGATGGAACTTAATGTTGGTTGTGTGAGCATAGTTTGAGTCCTATGGCTGTAGAAGCTAAAAGGGCTAATGGACATGTAAAGTGTGTAATATTGAAATTTGAAGATAATACTTGAAAACATATGGACCATCTATACACTGGAAATTATAAAGAAAGGAAAAAAGTATTTTGAGATAGAGAAGAAGAGAAAAATGCTCCTCACAAGATTCATGTGAAAATTAACTTCTAAAATCTCAATTTCTCTTTGTTGTGTGGAGATCAAATTGGATCAGAGACACATATATACTGCTTCTATGGTACAAAGTGGCTGCTCCTATGAAATACTGTTATATATGTTAATTAGGAAATATAACACACTACAGCAGCCTTTTCATTACCAATTTACAGTAACAAATTATGCTGGCAAAATTTTAGTTCCCCATTCTTTTGCATGTGTTGTACTAGTCATAACAGAAACACCTAGACAATGTTTGCAACATGGTAAATACTACGGCTTGATGTTTATCCAGCTTTTTATAGCCATGAATTTTATTCCCACTAGTGTTCAAGGCACACACGAATATGTGTGCAACTAATAAAAGAAATTTGTGCCAAATTTTTTGACTCTATTTGAAATCATTTTCAAGAGAATTAGTTTTATGTTGTAATAGTAAGTATGTAGAAAATTCATTAAAATAAAATATATGAACAAATAATTATTTAGTAGTAATTCATAACCATAATTGATAGTTGCTAAAAAAAAATTAAGGTTTACTAAATAAGTTGAAAAACAAAATAATAAGAAATACATATTAGTTGGAAGAAAGATATATTGGACGTTGGAAGTGGGTAGTTATCAAGGCTAGTTTAGGAAGAACATAAAGTGATACAAAAAGTTTACACCAACTCCTCCCTCTCCCTTTATATATAGCATGGATATGCATTGAAAAGATAGTAGTGAATGGATACACTATTCATGTTGCTATTTTGCTTACCTAGATCTGCTCACTGTTATGTTAGCCATGTTCCTCACCTAACACTGTTTTTTTTCCAGCCTTTACATAGGGAACTGTATATTATGCAAGCTTCAAATTTCTTTGTCCCTTCGTTTCTCAAGGCTGTGAGTGAAAACACTGAAGAAAGTTTCAGAAGTATAATGTCTGAACCATCTCCAGGAGTTTTTGCATTTGAAATGCTGCAACCTCGCTTTTGTGAAATGCTGTTGGCTGAGGTATGATGTAGATCGTTTTCAGTGATCTAAAATGCTATTTGTTTAATTTCTGTAGTTTAGCTTCTATGTTTTCTTATCAGGTTTTGATTGCTTAGGTAGAAAATTTTGAGAAGTGGGTGCACGAAACGAAATTCAGAATCATGCGGCCCAATACAATGAACAAATATGGTGCTGTCCTTGATGATTTTGGACTGGAAACAATGCTCGACAAATTGATGGAAGAATTTATACGCCCAATGTCAAGAGGTATGAGGTTTTTTTCCCTCCCCTGTGGAGGGTCAATTTCTGAACTGTTTAACAAGGTGAATGCAGGATGATAATTTTTATTTGTTTCTGCAGTGTTCTTTCCCGAAGTTGGTGGAGCCACACTTGACACACATCATGGATTTGTCGTCGAGTATGGAATGGATAGAGATGTTGACCTCGGTGTGTGATTGCATCCGAGCATTTCCGACTTCCTATTATGTTTTATTTCCTGATCTCAAAACCAGTGACTCATAACTAGTGGATGCCAATCTGATTCAATTCATTAACAGGATTTTGTATAGGATGTCATTGCATGGGTCTGCTTTTTGACATTACAATGAAGCTAAGTTACAGTCTTACAATCTGGGGTGTTGTAACAAGTAGTTACTATATATATCATGTTTTCTGTCATGTGAATTTTGTTTTAGGTAGCCTGGTTTTGTCAGAAATATTTGGAAGGATAAAGCATTTGCACATGTATGACCAAGTCCACTAGCTTGAAAAAGAATGTAATGAGCTAAAGACTTTCTAATCAACTGGTGATTACTGATCACTTTTGCCTGTCCACACTTTTCAGTTCCTTGTATTACAGAAGTTTAATTTTTAGTAAAAGTATTAATGCTGGATTTTTGTAAATCTCTAGTTGTATTTTGAAGTGTCACTTGATTAAGGACTGCAGGTTGCTGGAGTATATTGTGGTATTATATCTGTTTCCTCATCAAAAGGTGCTCTTCTTTGAAGCCTTGGACTGTGATGCTAAGGATACTTCATTTAGAGTAAAAGTTATACATTGGTCCGGTTGTGATTCGATCAAAGATCGGGATGGCTAATTAACTTGTTATATGGCAAAACAATACGTCTCTGACTTTCAAGGGCTTTACATTTATAGGTTTCCATGTGGATGACTCAGAAGTCACTCTGAATGTATGCTTGGGAAAGCAGTTCTCTGGTGGAGAGTTATTCTTCCGAGGTGTGCGGTGTGAGAAACATGTAAATTCTGAAACTCAGCCTGAGGTAAGTGACATTTGAACTATTATATGATCAAGTAGCCCAATTAAAAGAAGAAAAAATGAAAAAGTTGGTGGTGACTTTGGGAAAAGCTTAGTGTTGATGTATTTATGCAATGCTGTAGTTTTTACTATCTGTTGTAAATGCAACAATGGCGGTCATGTCTACGCCCTTTTTTTTTTTGATGCTGGGCCACAGAGGTGGTGGGGAGGGGGGTTATGGGGTGTGCTTTATGTTAATTTTGCTAGAGGAAAGAAGTTTTCTATAGTCAGCAAATGGAAATGGAGCTCCTGATTTGTAATAGCCCTGCATGATAAGTTTTGGCACGCTTTTGTTTTGGTTTTGGGTGTGGGAATTATCATCCTATTTTTCATTGTCTTTTTGTAGTTTATCACTGAAATATACTACGTTACCATTGTGCACGCATTGTACTATTTCCTCACTATGAAATATGCAACTTTTATTATAATTTGATGATTGATCTTTTTCCTGTGAACTCTAAATCACAAGATGATGACTATCTATAACATATTCTGCTTTCAGTTTTGCATGTACAAGCAAAAGTTAATGTGTACTTGATCTTTGTTCTTTTTTAGGAAATCTTGGATTATTCCCATGTCCCTGGGCGAGCTGTTCTTCACCGTGGTCGCCATCGGCATGGTGCTAGGGCTACAACATCTGGGCACCGAATTAATTTATTACTGTGGTGTAGAAGGTACATTTTATTCATTGAAGCTGTTTGAAGGATTTTTGCTGTGCTGCACATGAGTCATATAGATCTCCGAGTTCCCAATTGCAAACTCTCTTAATTTGTTTGAAGTGGTGTCTGCTCTGTGAAAGTTCCGAGGACCTTCCTTAGAATCAGATGTAGATCACGAGGAAAGGATGGTAGAGTAGATTGAGATGTCTGTTATTTAGTCTATTGGTAATAGCGTTGGTGTTTGTTATCATGTTCAGTAGCTACCTCTGAAACTGTTGCTGTCTTTGCAGTTCCGTTTTCAGAGAGTTGAGAAAATACCAAAAGGATTGTTCAGGCTGGTGTGCAGAGTGTCAACGGGAGAAGAAAGAAAGGCAGCGTCAGTCAGTTGCTGCAACGAAACTGGTATTGTGTTACCTTTTAAGATTTCACTTTAAGATTTCAATTATGGATGCATTCGTTTTTCTTCCTTCCATCAGGAATTACTGAGAAGAGAAGGAGAAGCTGCTTCTTGAACGGTTTATTGTCTCTAATTATTGTGCTGCAAAGAGAAGGAGATGAAGCTGCTACTTGAACAGTTTATTGTCTCTAATTATTGTGCTGCAAAGAGAAGGAGATGAAGCGGCTTCCTAGCTGTTCATTGTGTTTTGACTTTTGCTTTGAAACTGTAATATAGCTCAACTCATCCTCATGGCAGAAGCATTTTCCCGTTAGTCGTATAGGGATGCTGAAGATGTTGTCTGTTTTGTCCTTTTTTTTTTTGTCAAGATAGCTGTACATCTAAATCAAGTAGGTGTTGGGTCATCCCAATTGTTAGCTGACTTGAATATGGCTTACCATTTGGTACGATGAACATTTTGTAGGGAGTTGAATCCTCATGGTGAATGAAGCTGTACTCTGTAGATGAGCGGTGCTCTGCACATCTTAGATACATTTGATTGTAGAAATTGCTGCAATAAATTGTGAAATCAAACCAGTGTTTGCTGAGGTGCTGCCCTGGCGTAGAAATGGGTGATAAAAAATTTCGACATGATGTAATTGCTCATTATGATTTGTGTCGGCAGGCAAAGATGTGCAAAACAACTGCTAATCAGATTTTTCGAGGATAGGAGAGACTATTACTAATTAAGCGGAGTTTACGCACTAGTCATCTGTCCCAGCGGTGTTTTATTACGTGCTAGTAACCTTTTACAAATAGCAATGTGGCCACTATGCAAAAGAGCGGCTTCCTTTTCCAAAACATTCGAAAGAAAAACACGTACTATAGAATGGTATGCTTCCTTTTCCAAAACGTACAAAAGAAGAGGAGAAAGGTATGGAGCGGGATGAGTAATATGGCTAGAGATGGCAAATGAGCGGGATCTGGACGGGGTTTAATTGGAACTGTATTACTATTTAATATGGATGGTTTATATTCAAGCAATCTCATAGTATTAGTCATGGGACCAATATGAACGGGATTAAAATAAGTTTGATTCATTTTAATGCCGCCTAAATATCTAATAAATCATATTTTATTTTTTTAACTCTTTTTTCCCTAATCAAATTTCCCAATATTGATTTTTTTTTAAAGTACCATTTAGTTAGTTTGTTTAACTTTGTAAAAGTTTCCTCCATTATTGCTCTACCTATTATATAATGCTAATAGATAGATGATTAAGAGTAATTCAAATATTACGGTGGTTGCAAAAATATTATTAATAGCTAGGTGTCCACTTCAAACCCGTTTTCTATTCTACAATTCTACTTCTATTAGCAAAAATATTTGCTCCCAATCCTCCTCCCACAATTTCCCTCCTCTCTGCCTCCTTTTTTTTTATTCCACTCTCTTATCGTACTACCTTCATCCCTTTCCCACCTTTCTCCTCTCCAATTTCTCACAACTACCTACATTAACAAAAAAAAATTCAAAAAATTTATAAATGGAATTATCAAGGAGATTAGTTGACAAAGTTGTAAATGGTAAAAACATGGCATTGACAAAAAATTTAAAGATGGAATCATTGATGAGATCAGTTGACATAATTGAACATTGTAAAAACACGGTGATGATTTTGACAATGAGTATTTGTATGCGAGTAGATACAAGTCTAACAATAATATTACGCGCAAAACTAAATTAATTTATTTATAAAATATCAACTTTATTCGCAAATGTATAATAGGACAAGTGTTGACCAAATCAGTTGAAAACTTTTTCTAAATATCCATTGTTGATGTGGTCAACTTTGGAGACATACTAACAGGCTAAACCGGTTACTTTGAAAATTTTGAGAGACCAAATCAATTGAAATAAGCAATATGAGATTCCAAATTAGTTTTTGTTAAAACTTCTAGGACCAAATTTGCGGCACACGCAAATAATAGGGGACTAAAGTGGCAATTACCATGATTTATCCCCTTGCAATAAACCGACTTAGAATTTTCTACCCTATAAATAGTACAGCCGAGGGAGAGCGTGTATGTTGACTCGTCTATTCCTCTAACTGGTTCTTTCTTTAAGATCGAAACGATATTTCATCCTCGAAATCCTCCGAAAAAAGAAAAAGAAGAAATCAATTCAGGTTTTGGATTTGGTCGAAAAACTTAACGCAGCAGATTGAGATTACTTCTCCTGCGTCATAATTCCTCGGTGTTTGATTCCTAATCTCCATTGGAAATCAAACAATCATAATCAGTTACGAAGCTCGATTTTCTAGGGTTTCCGACCATCCGCCGGCGATCGAGTACAACGATTTCGATTACAGAGCTCGAGAAACGGCGTCGGATAGCACCAATCAAGCAAATTTGCGGAAGAGCTTCACTAATTCGAAATTCTAGGGTTTCGTTCGCTGTATTCCATTTTTCTTACAAGTTTTGTTTTGTACAGAGAAAAGTATTAAAAGAGAGAAGAAAGTTTGTGATTGTTTCTGATTGAGTTGTATTTTAGGGTATCTTGGTGGATTGTATGGTTTAGGGTATCTTGGTGGATTGTATGGTGGATTGTATGGTTGGTCCGATTGTAGCCTCGGAAAAAAAATTAATGAACAATTCTGATATTGTTGAGGAGTTTTTGATGTTTCCTTTATTTTTTCCTTTAATTTTTTGAGTTGAATAATTGTACTGAATCACTAACTTCTTATCATACTTGATCGAGTACAAAAAAGGGGTGCTTGCTTTGTCTTATTGTTGAAACACAAATAAAGGAAAAAAAATCGTTGAAAAGCAAAAGATCATTGAAATTAAGTTTTGGAGAAGGAAAAGAGGCTAATAACCTAATAGGTTGCTGCTGGTGGTGATATGAGTATGAATAGGATGAGTAACAGGTCGCAAAATCCTAATCGAGTTTATGGAGTAACAGAGCCAATTTCGATGGCTGGACCTTCTGAATCTGACATGATTAGAAATCGGGAATTAGAGAAGGTTAGGCTCGTTTACCTTTTCTATTTAGTTTCGTTGATATGGAGTAGCACAGACAAAGATGTTCGTTCTTGATATGTTAACAGTGGTTTAGTTAATGGTCTATCCTGTCATTCTACATTTTGTTGGAGGAAGTTTGTATTTGTGGATAAAAAGCTGATTTTATGAATTACTAAAATTGGTCATGTCTTGAATTTATGTGTAAATGTTGCTTCACTGGAGTCTTATTGTGGAAGACAAAGAATATTATGAACGTTAGGCTCTCAAAGGGATGTACAGAGTAGGTTTTAAGATTATGCAGGAAGAGAAATCTATGTGCAGTGTGCCTACCTCACTGTGTCATTATCATGCCTGTCCCCCGTTTTTAAGTTTCATTTTGGTTTTTATTTCTTTTTTCTTGCACATGCACATACATGCGGTGTATCTAGGTTAACAACACATAGAAATGTTGTTATGTGTACAATTGGCCAGAGACTGAAAAGGTTAACTATACATAGACATATGGTTGATATGTATAAAACTGGCCAGGCCTGAAGGGAGGCTGGTTTACTCTCCCTCCCTCCCCCCCCCTCTCTCTCTCTCTCTCTCTCGCATATTGGGATGGTGAAAAAACATTTTTACTACTCTTGGCTTATTGGTTTATCTTTTAAACTCATGCAAAAGGATAGTTTTAGCGGCTAAGCTTAATTTCCTAAATATTTTTGGTTTTAAAATCTGATGATGTTTTGGTTAACAGTTTCTAGCAGATGCAGGACTTTTTGAAAGTCCTGAGGAAGCTATCAGAAGGGAGGAAGCTCTAGCTAGATTGGACCAGGTATCATACTGTTAATTTCGAGTTTATATTAGTCATTGTTCCATAATTTGGCTATATGCACCTAATCGTAAGATATGGAACAGATTGTTAAGGATTGGGTAAAGCATGTTAGTCGCACCAAAGGCTTAAATGAGCAAGTTGTTGAAGAAATGAATGCATTGATTTTCACATCCGGTTCTTATAGGCTTGGGGTATGATTCTTATGAAATCTTATCTCTTCACAGTGTACTGTGTCTTTATATAAAGTTTTCCTGTTTGCTATTGATATGTAATTTCTGTTCTTTTTCTTTTCCATATGCCTAGTGCCATTGAGATATTTAACTAGATTGCTATTGCTTGTATTAGGTCTTGATTTTGTTAAATTATCTTTGGACACACTATAACTATATAGATTTGGCGGTCTTACCTGGACCTCAACTATTTTATGGTGGTGACTATTCTTTTATCCCTTTTTGCAAAAATTTTATGGATTGTGAGCATCAGGGATTCCTTTTTTTGAAAATTTTAGTTGTCCAGTACAAAGATGGGTTTACGGGTGGGTGGGGCTGGTCTTTGGATAGTTCTTTTGTGCAGAAGACAAAGTTAAGCCATTTGTTGTCAGACTGGGATTTTATACAAGAACTCAAGTTCTTAAGTGAAATTTTTTTTTTTCTAAGTTGAACTTATTTGCAAGTGATACAGATTTTTTTTTCCCCTTAAACATTAAACATGTTAACATTCTGTGCCTACTTGTTGCATCTTGTAGTTGCAACTCAAGTGATCACCTGTAAGCTAAGGGGTGCTACTTGTGCGCGGCCTTGCCCATACGAGAACTGAATATACTTTTTGATGCTCGAATTATGACTTGTGGCCTTTAGTTTTGAGTGTTTTTATTGCTGGAGGAGGTTATAATTTCATTCAAATATTTTCTGGAGTACATATAATCGTATATACTTCCAATTTTCAAGGGAAACAATCTGAAATCTTCTTTAGCAACACTCAAAGTTAAGAACATTTTCCAGGACTATAGATGGTTATTTATTAGATTGTTGTGGAGCTGTAGAGAAATAAGAGATATTTGTTCAGTTGTTCGTTTGTTCAATAAACTGCCAAAGATTTACTGCTGCTAATTGGGTTTTAATCGCTTTATGTTTGTCGTGAATAGGTACATGGCCCCGGAGCTGATATAGACACCTTATGCGTGGGCCCTATGCATGTTACTCGCAATGTAAGTTTAGAACCTCTCTCTCTCTCTCCCACCCTCCCCCTCAAAATGTGGAATTTTTTTGCTTATCTATTTTGATTAGCGATGATGAAATAATATCCCTATGCGTCAAATGCAGGAGGATTTTTTTGGGGAATTGCATAGAATTCTGGTGGAGATGCCTGATGTGCAAGAGTTGAATTCAGTGCCTGATGCTTATGTCCCTGTCATGAGGTTCAAACTTGATGGCATTCCCATAGATCTGCTTTACGCAAGTCTACCACTCCCAAATATACCTGAAGTATGAATTTTTTTTTTTGAGTGATCTCTTTCTTTTTACTTCTTACCATGTGCATTGGGAAACTTTATGTTTGCTATGGTTCTGAAGCTGTCATCTATTATTATTTTTTGTGATATGTTGTTTACCTATTATGAACCTTTTCTGAGTGGTTTTTTTTGTTCCATGCGCATTTGGAAAACTTTATGTAACCTATACTTCTGAAGCTCTGTGTTATTATTTTTGTGGTATGTTGTATGCATATTCCTGGAGTATGATTTTTTTGGTCTTTCTTTTGTTTAATTCTGAGATTGTTGAGCCTAGTATTATCTGC